TTGAAAATAAAGTAAACCGGTTTGCTCTTAAAATATTTCTGTTTTAGTCGGCTCTTATCTTATTACATTATTATTATAATAATATCATGTTGTATTATGTTTGATGCAACGTTATGATGAGATTTATCCTAAAATAGCCCCCACGTTATTTATACACGGAATCTTATTTTAATTACAACATTGTCCGACAACGGCAAAAACATAATTATTATATTTTATCGTGTATAATACGGAAGACGTTAATGTATGTTTCTTGTCTTGAAAAATTACAAGTCCGGACTCGACCTACATAGTCGCCGTGGAATTACTTGTTACACGATGCGGTGGAGTGAACGCTTAATAACGTGTACGGTTTATTTAAAATTATGAAATTTATATAATATTAAAATTTTTTAATTTTTAATTATTCGAAAACCCTCGAAACCAATGATTTGTTGTTTTTCATGTATTCTCAAAACAGTCGACTGTTGATCACGAGACTTCAAAAACATTAAACTATACTCACATATTACAAGATGCTGATTTAACCTATTTCTAGCCCGAAGAAATGTCTTAAAGTAGTACTGTCAACTGTCGAATACACGTTCCATCACATGTACACAATATCCTTCGTTCGGTGCGGTATAAGTTACACGTATCCGTTTATTTTTGTGTCCGACCTATGTGCCATGAATTAATAATGATCCTGCTCATTACTGGAGTATACAAAGTCACGCTTACCGTTCCATTTATTAAATGGATAATATTATTAATAGACGCCCTACGATGGCATTCGGACATGGATTAATATAATATAGACCAATGTCGTCTGTTCGAATGCAACTAAACCGCTCAACTCTAAATTTATTAGGAACACCTGTACACATGTTTCCAAATACTATTAAAATAAATAATTTAAATCCCTTGAGTTAGCTTACATTGACTTAATTAAACCAATCTCCTCAAGTTTACATTATATTATATCTTTTTTTTACTCCACCTTTTCCCGTGCAAACAGCGACGGTCAGAAATCCATAAAATTGTATTTACGTTATTGTATAACAATTATTATTAATTAAATGTAATTAGCACCGCTGTGGCTATAGTCGTTGGCTCAACTATAATGTCCTATTAAATCATTATCTAAATAATTAATCATCATACATAATTGATTATGACAAAGGTACCTGTTATATTAAGCATCGTTCCGTTGTGTACCCAGTACCTACACACAAAACTGTGTTGATGATTGATGGTATATTATGTGCTAAACAGTTGGCGTACGGAATGTTTCGCTTAAGTATCACAAGTAACTAAGACGGACAACATGACTAGGGAAATTTTCGCAAGAAATTTCTAAAGGGAAAAATACAGTTTAAGCTTACGTTAGTACCTTTATAGACACATTTTTGGACCGTTCGGGCACACTGGCGTTTTTGTTGGAAAAAAATAGGTGAAAGAGGAAGATAAGAGGACTACACCGCAAACCGCAAAGTCAATGACTGAGCAGTTCCTATACATTTTGTACGTCCTCGGATGTACACATAACAATATAAGAAAACACTTTGCGACACCGCAAAACGGTAAATATTAATGATAATCGTTCACCGTTTTTTTTTCTTATCGACGGTTGCAATGGGTGTTTGGATTCGTGCGGTTTGATTTTTTCGTCCACTTTTTTTCAATTGTCACCGATTTTAAATCATACGCATATACAGAGCACTTAAACCTAATGTGGATACAAGTGTATAATATAATAATATGTTGTTTCCGTTCGGTCAAACGCCAATAAAACCATGCACATCGTTTGAGGAAAATAGTACTATAGTAATATAATACAGCAAAATCACAATTATTATTATAATCTCTAACTACCTACTGTAGTACTGTAGTATGGGAGTAAACAAATTAATTGACAACAGCTATCAGATATAATATAATATTATATACAACCGTCGTTCAGTAAAAACGTATTGAAACGTTTTTAGATATATTATTATTATTATTGGATAGTACGGCCTCTGAGAAATAAAAAAAAACAAAATTAAGAAGTACCTTTAGGGCGTGTTCGGCACGAACCCTTGGCCCGTCGGATATTTTTCTAATGAACCATTCGCCATCAGATGAGAAGTCATATAACGCGAGAAGAACAGCTGATCTGGTACTTATGATATTATCAAAACAAGACCCTCGTATTTTAAGTTTTATGTATATATTTTTTTTAAAATAACCAACAAAATGTTAGAGCTGTTTGACCAAACGGCGAACGTTGTACGCGTGTGGTTATAGTTTATGAAATTATTTTCTCTAGAAATTCGTCAATCTTTATTCTGGAAAAACGTTTGGCCCACGTAGTTGTGCGGACAAATTTGGTTATGGCTTTCATTATGCTTTATTATGTATACACACCAAACCGATTGTTTGGAGCACAAAGACTGCATTCATATAGAGAAGTACGTTACACACAAACACCACCAGACGTTATGGTTCTCATAGGTAATATCATAACATAATATAAATATATATTCCTTTTTCGAGCTGTAAATAAACTCTAAAGCAAACACACAATGGAGACAAATGAAAATTCATCAGCAGAATATGGAAAATAAAAAATTCAAAATTATAATCGAGTTACGAAAACCGCTCATTAAATTGATTCAGAAATTGTGAGTGCGCTCTGTCCGGTTAAAATAAAAAATTACCCACGGCTTATAAGGTTAACGGTCTTGTCGGAATACTCCGGGTTATAACATACTTATATATATATACTTTTTTTTTTAATTTTCTTCTCCCCGTTTTCGCAAACACCACTAATAGGTCAACGCGGTTGTATTATGCTAGTGAGGTATAGGGCGAAGGGGCAAGCGGAGAATGCATTTTTTTTTTGTAGATTGTATACAACGATATTAATATAATGTTATTGTACAAAGAAACCCGAGTGGGCGATTATTTTATATTATATTATTATATACACAGGACTATAAAAAAATATAATCCTGGCTCGGCAGCGTACACACGTTTACCGAGCTGTTAACTATGCCAATATAATATAATTTACAGTACATATATATATATACAGTAAGATATGTGTATGTAGTTATAGAACGCAGACACAATGAAAGTGTTCCGGAAAACGACGGCGTAATCGAATTCCCATTTACAAACCGTCATTAGCCTATGTGGGTGATGACCACGATGTGGGCATGTGTACTTGGTGTGTGTGTATGTGTGTGTCGTCGACGCCATAAAGTATAATATGTATAGCCATGGCAAACGCAGTGTAGGTCAACCGTGTGTTCTCGACCGTTTTTTTTTTTTAGTGATTATTATTATTTTTTTGTCGCCACCGAAGTGAAAATTACCGACGGCATAAAATATATATTGAAACGCCACACAAGCAAAGTGCACTGGTATAAAAAGCATTTGTTGTTCGTATCGACGGCGCCAAAGTCGTCTTCAATATTACAACACGGGCGAAAAAACAAACGTTTAACTTTTAAAAATGTAAAAACTACCGTCAACATGGGGTCATCCAATGGTTCGCACAATATTTTATCGGTTGTATCGTTAAATTAATTACCACCGAAATCCTTGAAAACATATTATACCGTTAACCTTACAGCTCGAGACGGTAAAAGACCGAAGACGGTGAACGATCGCCGGTCACCCATAAAAAGTCATTAATATTATTTCTTCAAATACTCGAACCGCGCTAACGACAAATCATATATTGTATACATTTTTTATCCCGAACTGTCAAGCTGGTACGAAAAATCCACAATATAGAAAAATAATTAATTAGATAGACTGTCGGCAAGTAATTTATCATGGTTTAAGTTTTGACGGCGAAAAACAGATAGAAAATAATTACATATAGTAATAATATGGTATGCAGGTACATTAAGATAATTACCTACCATCGTATAACGTTAATGTAAACTGCAGAAAAAAAACTCTGTTCTCATCATCATGTTATTATTATTTGCGTGTACTGATAAACAACTTTAAAATAACTACATGGTGAAAATTAGGTACATTTAAATGTAATTTCTTTCGACAATAATTTGTTTAGTTTAGTTAAACGTTTTTTAATGTTATGATATTATCCAGACAGCAGAGTATAAACTATAAACTTGATAATTCAAAAATATTGAGAAAATGTTTTGCATTTATTTTCATTTTACCCATAAATAGCTGTAAATGCTTATAACCCCGTAATTGTATTTTTACTATATTTTAAGGGAATGTTACTTTTGTACGTTACACATTTTGTTGAAAGCACAAATGAAAGTGGGACAAAACTATAGGGTGTATCATTTTTTACACAACTTTATAGGGGAGCAAATTTAAAATGATGTCATCAACGTGTTTTTATGGGCATTGGTGATTATTTTTCTTTAATATCTCATTCAAAAAATGCGAAAAAATGCACACAGAAACCGTTTGTTTTTAATTCTTTAAAATAAAAATCTTGTTATAAAAAAAAAAGTTACTTGTATCGACTCTCATTACTTCAAAATAGCACTTCCAATGTAAATTGTTGCCTATTTCAATACTTTTCGTTTCCATTAACCCTTCAGACCCGTTGCAGTAAAATTGAAACATGTTTATTACATAATTTTATTTTGTTAGAAAAAAATGCGTTTAATTTAGGTGGTGCCCTATAGTTATTTAGAAAATTGCTGTCAACCAAATGTTATACATTCTTTTTAAGATATATTAATTTTTACTTTTTTTCCCCAAATTCTTGACAATTTAATCGACGTAAAAAACTGTATATTATAAAATTAAAAAAATTGGCCATTGAACAAGGGTTAAATACGCTAAACGACTATTTTTTTGTACCCAGCTTAAGTAAAGGTCGATAATTTTAAATAAATAACAATTTCTAAAATAAATAATCATAAAAATCCTTTTTCGCCGCCATTTTTCCAGGAAACCGTTCGAAACGAAAACAGTTTGTCCGCAGAAAGACGATCATTTTTTTTTTCACATAATAAATTATTAATCGTGGTACTTACAATTCCGCTTTGTGTTTGGTAATGTCACCGTTGCTAAGCCGAATAAAAGCCGGTGCTCGCGATACGGTCGCCGTCCGGGAACTCGGTGGGACTCTCCTGGCGAAATTCAAATAATTCCACCAACTCGACTCGTGTCACAAGGAATCGCGTTTACTCGACGACTGTACTCTGCTGCGGTTGGGAAAAACGCACAATTAAAATACGGAATTATCGAAAACCGCGTTTGGAACAGAACAAAAATCAAAAAACGATTCCGTAACCGGTCGGTGTACTTGTAGGTATAGGTATATATATATATATACGCGACACGGAAGCGTTAAAGTCTCTGGGCCGTACTACGTACGAAATAACAGTATAGTAGCAATGATGGCAACACCTGACTGCGGCCCGACATCGGTCAAGGACTGGTGAACTGCACTGCGTCCAAGATCAATGCCACCGGTTCCTTTTATAACTTCATCCCTACTATAGTAGCACCGGCCTGTGCCCGCTAAGCGCTCTGCCACTTGATGCATTCTGCACGAGCTCGGTTCTCTTTTTATTTTTTACCGTCTTCTTGCCTTTTTTTTTTTCATGTCATTAGTGCATCTAAGAGTCTCCTCGCGCACACGCATTCTTCGCTTTTGTTACACTGGGATACATGTTGTAACCGTTTGTTGTTGTAATATTATTATTGTCGTTGTTATCATAAAAAAAAAAAAAATAAGCATTTGGTTTTTAACCCCAGCTGTTGGCCTCCGGCCCCCCGCGGTTGGTTCGCACAGGAACTGTCTTTTGCGCTGTACTCGGCGAAGCCCACCTATTTCGATCGGTGCTTTTTCTCTCTCCATAAAACAATAAAAAGTAAATATCAATTATTAGCCTTTTGTTATAATTGAAAGTCATGACCTAGCAACTTTAACTGTCGCTGTGTACAGCATAACATCGGTGGCGCCATAGTATTTTTAACAATATTAATTTCAATAGTAGGTATAATGAACGTGCATTACGATAAATGAATTTTTTGAGCTATTATGAACACATTGAGGACATTACAGAGTCAGACAATAGTTTTAGAAATTTCATACCTAATTTTTTTTTCTTTAATTAAATAAAATTTATTACAGGTATAAAAAAAATAACTCCTCAGCTTCACATCGATGCTAAAATACAAAGTTTCAATGTGAAGTTGAGAAGTTTTAAGTTTAAAATTGGACAGTGTCTAATTATTTAGAGTTGCTTATCCCCAAAGAAAATCTTGAAAAAACAGGTTATCAAAATACATACTTCTTGAAATAAAAAAAAATCACTCAAATTATATAATGTTCTAGCTAACACATGATTTTTGTGATAAATAGTTTTAAATGTTTTTTAGATAAGCTTCTACTAAATGAAAATGAAAAGTTAACATTTTTTTTGTAGTTTTTTTTTTTAGAGTTTTTGTAGAGATGGATTTTTTTTTTTAACCGTGCAGGTTGACCGTTTTGAGTCCGCCCAACTTTGAATACATTGAAATGCATTATGCAAGCATTGTAAATTTTAAAACGCAGTTTCTGAAAATTGTTTTTAAAATTCCACCTATCACAAATAGTGCCCTATGCCTTCAACGTAATTAGGTAATTGCTAATTTGATTACTTAAACTTTTAAATTTATTCCAAAGCATAACGTAGCAAAATTAAATGAAACTGTATCACCACTTGGTTTCTGGTCTCGCTTTAAAAAAGTAGTCGAACGTGTCCTGAACTCAACAGAACTAGGGGATTATCACACCTAGCAACCCTACTAAGTACATCGGAAGGGAGATGGTTCTGCTTTTAAGCCCCTTAATGAAAAAACAAACACTAATAATTGTGATTTACGTTTAGACATAAATGTGATTAAAAACACAAAATACTTAACAATAAATATTTCAGTGTTATTTAGTAATTAAAACAAATGTATATATTTACACACATAGGTATAACCTATATCTGTTTCTAGTCGGACTAAAGAGAAAACGGATATTTTGTTTTTAATTATAAATTAATTAATCAGACTGTTTGGCCTGAATAATCCAAAGTAAAGTTTTAAATGCATTTTGTAGCAGACCTGCCAGACCGTTATGTCTCCCCATTCAATAGGTAACCGTTTCTATTATACAGTATACGTTTATAACTGACAAAATATTGTGGTTCCTAAAGAGAATTTTAATTTTAAAAAGAAATGTAGTAAATTTTGTGTTGGGTTTAGTGTTTATTTTCCATTGAATAAAAGATTTACTTTTGCTCAGAAGTCAAAGCAAAACTAGCGTGAAAGATGAACAATGAAGAGCCGAAATTATATCGGTGCAGTTTTAACGGTTTAACGTTATAACAGTTATCGGTAAAATAATATATGATGATTTCCGGTTATTGTATAAGCCTTTTTAGATTAATAAATTGTCAAGAATTAATTATCTTAGCCCAAATAGTATAATCTCATTAAATGCATAGTAAAATTTCAACATTGTAGGTGAGAAACAACATTTTATTGGCTAGCTGCCCGAATGTCAGATTACCTACATAATATGATACGTCGATTTATAGTACTGATGCAGTTGTCATTATAATCATCATTACATAATTTACGCACATTTTGAGAAATCAAAAATACAACTTTCAACACAAAATCAATAACAACAAGTAAATTAAATTGTACGTTTTGGTATGCCTCCATTATTTTCTATTATCTTCACAGTGAACATTGTTAAAAAACGACTACAATAATTGCGCAGAACTCAATGTACGGTGAATAAATATTACAAAGTGCATTTATCGAATACTTAATCCTTATTGCACTATATACTTTTAGAAATAACTGTATATAATATAAATGTGTCCGAAAACGTAAAGTAGTACACGGCTCCATATAACTAAAGGCTACACGGTGGTTTGTATGAGAATAATAAGTATTTTTGGTTTTCAAAGTCACATGAATATTACTGTTAGCCACATGGGAAACGGGAAATGCACTTGTACATGGGGATTAACGAATTTTGGTTCTAGGTTTCCCGTCTACCCGCAAAACAGTAATGTATATAATTTGAACATTAAAGATTGACTTCAGCGGTCGGTCAACGGCCGGTGTGTGAAATACATACCCCACAAAATGCCGTAAGTGATTTACAGTTGGTATTTATGGCAAAAAACGAACTGCCACGCAATACCGCATAATTATTAGGTTCAAGTCCCAAAACCGGAACATATGGGTTCTATCAACCGCGCCTGCAAGTTGCAGCAACAAAACACATTACAGCTATTTCCCACAAACGTGTATAGGTCAACAAGTAAACATATATAAATAATATATTTAAAGCACATCGCGAAGAAGATTTTTTTACAATTAATATGCATATGGTATCAAATACAAACGTAAACCCATCGATAGCCTACAGCCGGATGCGGTGCGAGTTTACCTATGCATACATATAAACGATCATTTGCATATATAAATCAACATTGTAAGCTCTCGTGTGGTTTTTTTATTATAATAAGCGTATAATACGCATTATTATACTGCGATACCGTATCAGTTATTATAACCGTTATCTCTTCGTGTACGCATGTAAATGTAATGCATCTTGTAAAAATCGTTTTCATAATATTAATATACTATGTTATAATATTTTTTTTCGATTTCCAAGTCAAGGCAACTCTCGAAGCATGTACCTATCATAAATCTGCATTAATAATATTACAGATAGGGAGTAGATTTTGCGTCCTCGTTTATAAACTATAATTTATTTATTTTGATAATATTATGAATCGATCGCTGCGCAAAATAAAATGCTCACGATACTTTGAATTTTCTAGTGGAGAGTAATAATATGACCCTTATATGATTATAATAAATAGTGTTTTGAATCTCAAAAGCGCACCATACAAACATTGATTGTTGTACACAGATAGTTACAATCTAGTCGAGCTCATCGGGCCGTTCTGAGACATTAAACAGGTTTATTACGGCGCGGCATGCGGTATGGACAACGACCTCCACTTGTAGAGCATTTAATAATTTTTTTTTTTTAAATTAATCTCTTATAATAGAGTTTAGTTTGACTGAGCAGTTAAACAAATTTCATTCAAAACACATCTGAAAGAAATTGCGCTAACAAAGTGCATACAAATAATTTAGCAATCCAACTGACTGTACAAACCAACTTTCCCATTCATGTATATTCCACTTACCTGTTTTGAATCCCAATATACATTTTCAGTACATGAATAATTGCGTCTCGAATAAAAAATTTGTTACTAATGTCACATAATTTCGGAATATTCACTAAAACTTAATTCGTTCACATTCAAAGTAAAACAAAATGAACTTATCCGCTTTGACGTTCAGATTTTTTAATAACTACCAAACGTACTACTACGTTCGTGTTTACTTTTTTTCAAATTATGAAAGCATTTAATTAGCCATTTTTCTATAAACTAGTTAGTCGCTCGCTGGTCAATTTCTCAGTTAATTTTGTTTAGTTTGGGATAAACATTGATAAACAAGATAAATAAATTAGTTTACACGGCAGAAAATGACGTTGTGGTCAATTGATAATATTCAACAATATATTGTTTGGTGTTTTATAATAGGCCTATTAATTTTACACCATTTTACTATTGATAGTATTGAACACATTATACCAATAAACGCATAAGCGACGTGACAAACGTTATACATGTATGCATAAATTTGCTATATTATTGTACTGTATATTAGCAGTATAGTATTAAATTATAATGTATAGATAATATACCCTCAAGGCATGGCAAAACTAGGCTGACGAACACAATACAGGTGCTTTAAATGTGACTATACATTGAATAATGGATTTTTTTTTACCGGTGACTTTCGATAATTGATAATTGATTATTGAAATGCCTAGAAACTGTACAACAATGTGGAACATATGCGAAGGTAGTGTCAACGAAATGAAAACGCCTTAAACAGTTTTCAAATTATTATCGTGCTAATAAAGAATATGCACCGCGGACTAGCATTGAAATCCTGTGAAAATTATTTTTCGCTTTCACACTGTATTCTGCCATTAATCATAATATTATTTCTGCCGTTGGGCTGTTCGGTCCTGAGTTGTGTGTAGGCGCAGTTTAACCGAAAAGAATACAGGAATTATGTGGCTACCACTATTATGGATCCAGGGTCAAGAGGCCCCCGTAAAAGAGTTATAGTTAAGGAGTTGCTCCATTTATTAAGTTTCATTAAGTGAGAGCTGCGAAAATGTGATTATTGGTCTATTATTTAATAAATTTAAAGGATAAACACATGTTTTTAAAAATTGACCAACGGTAGTCTAGAATTTTCCATTTCGACGCTGTCACATGATAAAAATGTCTTATCTTTTCCCTAAAATGGGCAGGGGAGAGGGAGAATTTCCAATCTCTTAAGCTTGAGATCTA